TCTGTCTCTGTCTCTCTCTCTCAGCACTGAATGCAGCCTTCAAATTAAGCTACCTTTCCCAGCCTCCTACCTGCCCTTTTTTTTTGAGTCAGGGTTTCACTTACTTGCTAAATTGCCTAGTCTGGGCTTGACCTTGTCATCCTCCTGCCTCAGCTTCCCAGAGTGCTGAGTTTACAGGGCAGGGTTAGTCTTTTTTTTTTTTGAACTGGGGATTGAACTCAGGCCCTTGAGCTTGCCAGGGAAGCACTTATTCCACTGAGCCATCTCCCCAGCCAAGGGTTAGTCTTATAAGAGTTCTCAGGAATGTTGTAACTCAAAAATGAGGCAGGCTCGAAAAGAAAAGAAGCACTTTATTTTAGCTGGTACCCAGTGGCAGACACCCCCGCAAGATGCTGAGGTACGTGCCAGGAGGATGAGGGGAGTGGGTATTTAAGCCAATAAACCACAAAAGCTGATGTCAAGGGTTCATCTAGGGACTACAGTTGAAACATTACTGTTTCTAATGAACAATAACAGGTGCATTGGTGGGTACAGTTTGTAGCTGGGAACCAGGGCAAGAATAGGGCATTGGGCCGGAACTAGATTCAGGTGTGCACAAAGGACAGCGTGAGAAAGGCCCAACTGCAGGTTCTCAAGTAGAGAATGGGGCACAGTGGAAAGTTCCAGCATTTTGAATGGTGCATACAGAACAAGATGGCGGCGCATATGTCAGGTTATAACAGTTAATAAAGTTACAGTGGAAGCATACAGAGTTACAAAATTGGAATCAATTGCACAGGTTATAACAAGGAGGGGCTGGGGAAATAGCTCAGTGGAATAAGCACTTCCCTGGCAAGTGCAAGGGTCTGAGTTCAATCCCGGGTTCAAAAAAGTGGAAGAATTCTGAGGAGACAGCTGTATCTGCGACATTCTATCACAGCAACTGCCCAAGGCCCTCACCGTAGAATGGGGTCACAACTTTCTTTTCTCTTTGTTACAGAGTAAGGCAGCTGGATGTAGTTTCTGTTGGCCATTAAAGTATGGGAGATGGCGCAGTAGAATAAATGCTTCCCTGGCAAGCACAAGGGCCTGAGTTCAATCCCCTGTTCCGAAAAAAAAAAAAAAAAAAAAAGTATTTTAATACATGCAAGGAGACAACGGTTGTTAAAATAAGAGGAATGAGATTGTCATCTACCGTACAGCCTGCGCTGAAATGAGTTTCAGCTCATTTGTAGTTTTTATTTTTCCCTTCAAGCAAGACTCTTGCATATCTGTGCGTACTTAAGCTCCACTTCAGGACCCGACAGCGTCCTCTCCCTGGAGCTTGGCCTCTCTCAGGTTCACAGCCCCCGCAGTCGCCCTGAAACCCTTGTTAGTGGGTTCAGGCAGACTGAGGATGGGCTCACAGACGCCAACATGTCCCAGGGAAACCAGGTGGAGGCTGCCGGCCCACTTGTTCCTGCGCGCTGCGAGAGCAAGTTCCGCGGAGACCGCCGGCTCTGCGGGGCTTCCGCTGTCCCACCAGCGTGGAGAGCCACTCAGGGGCCGCCGACAGGGAGGGAGCTAGGCGGGCTCTGGGGCACAGGCCAGGGGACGCTGCCCTGCGGGCTCGGCGCACCCCTGTAACGCCGGCTCCCTCTTTTCTGTACCCCTCCCCGCCCCAAGCTGCTGGTCTTACGTTGGAAACAGGCACACTGGCCGGCAAGAGCTCTCCATCGGCGCCAACTGCGACAGGATAGCGACCGTGCAGCACGAGTTCCTCCACGCGCTGGGCTTCTGGCACGAGCAGTCGCGTGCTGATCGCGACGACTACGTCAAGATAATCTGGGACAGAATCCTGTCAGGTGCATTTCTTTTGGTTTTCTTTTTAAAAAAATATTTGTAGTTAAAAGACTGTCTACCCCGTGTCCCCGCTTGCCATTTGCTCCGTCAGTAGCTGAACAGCTCTTTGTGCGGTTGGGTGTCTTCGGTCTTTTATCCTCTAACTCAGTATGAGCTGAAGCTCCTTAAAACCGGCCGGCGATGGCTCAGTAGAAGAAGCACTTGCCTGGCAAGTGCAAGGGCCTGAGTTCAATACCTGGTTCCTCAAAAAACCGTTGGGGTGCTGGTATCCCACAATCCTATCTCTGTGATTTGAGCTTTTCATAATTAGTTCAAGAAATCCTAGGTTAAAGCAAATCAAACTTATACTTCGTTAGACGGCCGCGTAGCTGCAAAAAGATTTTTCAGGGTAAGCAAAGTGTTTAGCTATAATGATTTTAGTCAGAAACTTCTGTTTACATCTATAAGATCTGGAGGTCAGGCCCACCTTACTGTGCCCATAAAATCACCCAATTTTGAGCTACAATCACTTGCCCATTAGTAGGGTGCCAAGTAGCCAAGTAACTTCTCTGAGCACATTCATTTTAGTTGTGGAAGATGAATGTGCGTAATTGCTAAATTATAATTATGTGGACTTGTGTATGGGTTACAAAATGGGGTATTGATACATGTATGTAGTGTGGAATGATTAAAATCAATGAACATATCTTCCACCTCAATTCATATTTTTAGGGTGAGACATTTGAAATAGCAATTTTGAAGTATAGAGTACATTGTTATAGGCTCTATGGTGTAAATATATAATCCACATGTACTAGGGTGGCCAAATAGTGCCTGGTCATGGCAATCCTTTCTCACAGCTCTCCTTGTTATTATCCCCAGGGTCTGTCTTATCCGCCCTCCCAAAGTCTCCTAGTTTCCTAGTTTGATCTCCATCTTCTGTGAATGCTCTCAAATTTCCATTATCTTTTACAATTGTGTGTGAGTGTGTGTGTGTGTGTGTGTGTGTGTGTGTGTGTGTGATTGAATTCAGGACCTTGTGCTTGCTGAGCTACCTCCTAGCACCAAACTTCCATTATCAACGGCCACTGAGCCTAAATGCTTCACCAGTACTTTTTAGGATTTGGCTTTCTCTTAGTTTTTAGAGCTCTACACCAAATGCTCATATTCCAACTCTGGGCTGTAACAGAATCTGAAATATGTTTAGTAGGATATTGAGAATCATGTTTTTATTATGACTATTATATTCAAAGACAAAAATATATGAAATATTTGAAATATAGGTCAACGTTAGCAAAACTTGCTGTAGTTTATTATGGCCTCCCTTTCTAAGCTATCAGTATGTAGAGTAAGATGGGCTGAATTTTATGAACACCAAGTAATTAAAGATTTTTTTATGTCATTCAGGCAGAGAGCACAATTTCAACATCTATGATGACAAAGTATCAGATTCCCTGAATGTGCCCTACGATTACACTTCTGTAATGCACTATAGTAAGACTGCATTCCAAAATGGGACAGAGCCCACAATTGTGACCAGAATCTCTGACTTTGAGGACGTGATTGGCCAACGAATGGATTTCAGTGACTATGACCTCTTAAAGCTGAATCGACTGTATAACTGCAGTATGTGGCAAGTTCTTTGAAGTGACCCGTATTTCACTGTGCCATGTTGGAAAAAAAGTGATGGTTGTGCTGATTTGGGTTTTCTGAGGTTATGGAAATTTGATTTTTAGGGGAAAAAAAAAGAATAGCACCCAGATCCCAATCTGTGACTTGGATGCAGCGTTCTTCTCACAAGGGCTGGCCTTTTGGTCCTAAAAATAACTTGAGACTGTAAGAGTATGCTCCAGGTGGACGTGTGAGCTGCCGTGAATCACGTATGGGCCAGTTTGATACTCAAGCCTCTGTCAGCTAAAATAGGGGATAAAGGGATAAAGTTGTAATATAAATGGGATAAAACAATCTGGGTTATTTGAATAACAGGAAGTATAGATTCAAGTTTCTACAAATATATGAATTAGCAGAAAAAAGCCCGACTTGGTGCAGGCAGCTTGCACATATCCACAGAACTAATCAACCTCTTGGTAGAACAGTGTCTTCGAGTACTAAAGAGATGTCCCTCTTAATGCTAACCTGGCATTCCTCAGATTGATTATGTAGATGATTACTTAGATTATCATGGTGTATAAATGTTAATCATTGTTTTTTTGCTCTTGTAGCTTCTTCCTTGAGTTTTATGGACTCATGTGATTTTGAACTGGAAAATGTATGTGGTATGATCCAAAGTTCAGAAGATAGTGTTGACTGGCAGCGGGTTTCCCAGGTTACTGGGGGGCCGGAGAGTGATCACTCTAACATGGGCCAGTGCCAAGGTAAGAGGAGGGAGAACCTTCCAGATATTATAATCATGGGTTCAGCCTTTCCCTTTGCTACTCCAGACTGGGATTAAATCTCTTACTTCTATCAGTTATTAATGATTTTCTACTAGGACTTAGAAGGACATGCTTTTTTTTTGCTTTTACACAGTAAGACTATTTTTCTGTGGCTCAGAGGCATGCTCTGAGGGTTCTGCCAGCATGTGCTCAGAGCCGAGAGCACTGGGCCTCCCAGGAGGACTTGCTCAGGGGCAGTAGAGGTGCTTCTGAGCAGTTTGTACAGTACAAGACACTCTTCCTAATAGACAGCCCTGGCTGTAGATTACTGTGTTTTATGTAGCTGGATATGATTACATGCTGCTATTACAAAAATACTTAAAACAAAGATGGACTGTATCATTTATTGAATTTTATCCAGATTAAGATTTTTTTTCCAGGTTAATTTTTAAGCAATCATTTTGCTGTAAGCACCAAACTTTTATTTAGTTGCTCATTTCTGGCAGCAAATTAAGAAAAGTGGACTTTGAAATTGAGAGCCATTGCACAGGGATTAAGATTTCTAAGAGCAATGCGGTGCTTTTTCTTTCATTTTTCTTTTTAAATCCAAGTGGACAGTGGACAGTGAGCCTACATAGAGCAGAGGGGGCAAGGAAGGAGGAAGGGAAAGAGGCCAGATGGAGGTTCTATAGAACAGTTACACCCCCTGGGGGCAGTGTGTTCTCTTCCTGTTTTTATGTATTTTGTACAGGGTCTTACTATGCAGCTCAGACTCATAGTGATCCTTCTGTTTTCAGCCTCCCTAGCACTGGCGTTACAGGCATGCACCACCATGCCAAGTCTCTGTGGGCAGCTCAGCATGCCCAGGGGCAGGGTGGGTGTGGCTTGTGGTGCCAGGGGTCTTCCTCCTGTTTTTGAACACTGACCTCTATAGCAAGAGAAAGGATGCCTAGTGTTGTCTCTTTCATAAACTGTCAGCTGCTAGAATTGTACCTAAGTGCCTTAATTCATTTGTTTTCTGTTACTATAACTGAGTACCAGAAACTAGGAAATTTATAAAGAAAATAAATTTCATTTCTTATAGATCTGGGGGCTGTGAAGCCCAGGAGCATGGTGCCAGCTCCTTCCTGGTGTCTGTTGAGGTCCTTCTTGCTGTGGGGTGATGTGGTGGAGCACATCCTCGGGGAGACAGCAAGTGCACTAGCTTGAAGGACTCGAAAACTTCCAACACATCAGCTTTGGGGGCGTGTTCAGGTCACAGCACATGCACACAGAGGGGCTAAGCAGACTCCTGCTGGGAGGAGTTCGCAGTGGCGGGCAGTCAGACCCGAAAGTCTAGCTCTGTCTTCTGTGGAGATGGTTAAGAAGGCCAGGTATTGTAAACAATGGAAGCAGAGAGCTGGGAGAGACCTTTGAACTGGAATTCAGTTGTTATGATCCCCAAACTTATTATGAAAATCACTTTTCAAACATTAAACTGTGGACCTCA